ATCAGTTGATTTTTGGGGGGCGCTCTGTTTTTTCTGTTTGTTTGTTTAACGGACGGTTAAACCACGCGTCTCTGGCAGTGCAGGGTCATCACTGCAGGAGGGATCAGGTTTAGCCTTTTAAATGGTCCAGCGTTGTTCTGGAACTTTGTGGGTTATTTTAATCTGTGACCTTCATTATTTTTCTTTTATGAAAACTTGATTATATTCTGTGTTTAAATTCCTGGCTGATGTTTTCCCGTTCAATCCCGTGTATACAGCATCCAGATAATTTTATGGAAAATGTAATTATTATTTTGAGATGGATTATGTCAGTTTTCCTGGATCATTTCCTGACGTTGTTTTTATTTCTTTCTAAAACGATACTTTTTTAGGACTGTTTCTTTATCTTATCTGTTATTATCTTTATTGTAATCTTTTAAAATCTGACGTTTTTATCTTCTTGGATCATTTTAGTTGAACTTTTTCTTCCATGTTTAAGTTGTTGTTGTCTCGTTACCTTTTCTTTTAGTTTTTTTTGTCAAAGATGATTTTTGGCTCTGATTTTCAGTTTGATAAAAACTGTGACGATGCAGTAAGAAGGGCTGCAGACGGTAAAAAGTTCAGCCGCAGCGTCTTTGCTCTCGCCGTTATTACTCTTTACTCTCGGCGCACTTCCTCTTTCAGTTATAGCATTATAATGTGTTGTCTGTTTGTCTCTCCTCCAAAATTCCTGCTCCTTTTTTTTTTTTTTTTCCCCCGTCTCCTTTTATTCCTCTCCCAGCTCTGGGGAGGATGAGGAGCTCCTCTGGTAAGTACACGTCTCCTCCTGCTCCTCCTCATCGTCCTGTGTGTCTGTAGTCGTCAGTCTGGTGTTCAGCTGCATAAAATGAGTCTTTGACTAGTAACACTTTTGTACATCAGGCTGGATTCAGGTGCTTCGATAAGGGAGGGGAACCTTTAACTGACCTCATTCATCTCTCAGTGCTGAACGCTTTTCTTTTCAGGCTCTATTTGTTTGGTTTCGGTTTCTGCTTTTTTACGTGATTCTCTGGATTGTCTCATTGTTAGAAGCTGGGCCACAGATACAGAGGTCTGACTTTGAAGGGGCTCCTTTAAGGGTTTTTATGCAGCTGAGCACCTGTCAGCAGGTTTTACGCTAAAGTAGCCGGTTACAGCATGCAACTGCTGCCTGAACAGGATG